AAGTTGCCAAGTTTGGAGTCCTCAAGTCTTAAAGTTGCCAAGTTTGGAGTTATAAAGTCTCCCGCTGCTTTAGGGTTGGACTAGAAGACCTCCAAAGTCCCTTAGGACTCTGTTCTTCTATTCTCCTGCTGTTCTAGCAGACTCAAGATGGACTCCAAGGAAATTATACTTTTTTTAATGAAGCCCCTTTTAACTCTTCAGACAAGGCCTTACTCACCTGTCTGGGACTGGTCTTGGAAGGAGAGACACCAATGCCACTGCTGGCAAGAAAAGAGATGATGGCTTGAGAGAATTTGCTTGGTTTGTTCTCTGAACTCGACATGGTCCTTGCTAGGCACGACGTTACATTTCACACAAGGTAGTCTGCATGGCTTAAAAAAAATGACCTTTTTCATGGCTGGGAAACACACAAGACCCTTTAAGAGCAAGTTTGGAAGCCGAGCAGGGCAAGGCGAGAGCAAAATACAACAGATTGGAAGGAAGCCCAAGCCAGCCAAATTAGTCAACTCAAAATTCCCAGGGCCTACAACTGAGGTTGAGATGTAGCTCCTTTTCCCAAGTCAACCACATTCAAGTAAGACCGACGGAACCACATTCTTAATTTGGGGAGCCCCATATTAAATTTCTGGTTTTTCCACTTTCTAAAAGAGGTTGATCTTTTTTTCCCCCCACGTAAAAAGACCTCAGAATGTTTTCTAACTAGAATCTTTTCTTAACCCAAAACAAAAAACAAAACCCAATTAGCAATTTAAAAAACACACACACACTAAACTGTTTCAACTTCAGGGCTTATCTATATACCTTTCCACAATGCACAACAGATTTGGTCTTCCTTTCCTTTGAACTAGTCTCTCTTTTAAGAAACACCAAGTTTAGGTTTTCCCCACCTACAAGCGTAACCACAATGAGGAAGGTTAAAAAAAAAAAACACAACCCAACAGGCTTTGGAAGAAAGACAGGAAAAAAAAAAAAGGCATATCCTATTTATAAATTCTCTGCAGAGGGGGAAAGAAACAAATATTTAAAGAGGCATAACTCTCCTGGAAAAGGACGGAAAGAAGAGCACTTGTGAAAGGAAAATAAAATGAGCCGAAGGGATATCCAGTGATAAAATAAATGGAAAATCAGACTGTTTGCATTTTGTTACTGGATGGGCTGGAGGCCTGGGAATGGAGGCGTAAGAATCTGCCATGTGGGATGCGTTGCAAAATGTTATTTCCCGGAGTAAACTCGTATTGGAAGAAAGGGGTTGGGCTAGAAGACCTCCAAGATCCCTTCCAACTCGGTTGGCCTGTTATTCTGTTATCTTATATTTGTGGGGTGGGGTGTTAATTATTCTTAAACCTGATAGCGTTAGCTGGGTTGCAAGAAGGAAAACCAACTTCTCTTTCCCCTTTATTAGGCTCTACTCCTGTGATTTTTTTTTTACACCTTCTTCTTTAGGGAGCATCAGCTCCTCCTGCTACAGAGGGGAACCATCTCACCTGCTCAAGTAGGCTGATCAAATAGCTGAGGAAAGCAAGCGGGACCAATGGAAAGACGCTTGTTCCTTTTTTTTTTCTTTCTCCCCTGTGCTTGACCGCCTTCTTCTCCTGGGCTTGGCCGAGGGTTTTTGTGAAGCTAAACCACCATTGTGTTTTCCTCCTTCAGCATGGTTTGTGTAATAAATGCTAAGAGAGGTTTGGTCAACGAGGCATGGTTAGAAAAAATGGTCATTGGTTCAGCTCAACGGGTGGACTCAGGGCCTGGCTACGAGGAGAGGAAAAAGGAAAGAGGAAAGGGAAGAGGAGAGGAGAGGAAAGGAGAGGAGAGAGGAGAGGGAAAAGGAAAGAGGAGAGGAAAGAGGAAAGGAAAGAGGAAAGGAGAGGAAAGAGGAGAGGAAAGAGGATAGGAAAGAGGATAGGAGAGGAAAGAGGAGAGGAAAGAGGAAAGGAAAGAGGAAAGGAGAGGAAAGAGGAAAAGAAAGAGGAAAGGAGAGGAAAGAGGAGAGGAAAAAGGAAAGAGGAGAGGAAAGAGGAAAGGAAAGAGGAAAGAGGAGAGGAAAAAGGAAAGAGGAGAGGAAAGAGGAAAGGAAAGAAGAAAGAGGAGAGGAAAGTGGAAAGGAAAGAGGAAAGGAGAGGAAAGAGGAGAGGAAAAAGGGAAAGAGGAGAGGAAAGTGGAAAGGAGAGGAAAGATAAAAGAGGGAAGAGGAGAGGAAAGAAGAAAGAGGAAAGGATTTATGACGGTTACAATGACCAGGGTCAGGTGATACCTTTTTTTTCAGAGCTTCTAATGAGCAAATTCAACGGGAAAGCCAGATTCACTTAAGAACCGTGTGACTAACTTAACAACTGCAGGGATTCACTTAACAAGGATGGCCAGAAAGGTCGCAAAAATGGGGCAAAACTCACTGAACAGATGTCTTACTTAGCGACAGAAATTTGGGGTGCCATTGGGGTTGTAAGTCAAGAACTATCTGTACAAGTACTCCTCAGTTTACAACCAGAATTGGGTGCAGAATTTGCAGGGCTAAGCAAGGCAGTTGCTGAATGGGCCATGCCTGATTTTATGTCCGTGTTGGCCACCATTGTTCAGCAAATCACTACCGTTGTTAAGTGAATCACATGGTCATTTAAGCAAATCAGGCTTCCCCCATTAACTTGGCTGGTTGGAAGCTGGCAGGGAAGGTTGCAAGTGGCAAACCCTTGAACCCAGGACATGGCAACGGTCATAAATCTGTGCCGGGCGCCAGAATTTTGATCACGTTGCTGTGGGGAATACAATGACAACCCTTTTTTCCATGCTGTTGTAACTTGACAGGGTGACTAAACTATCCGTTGTAGTGGTGCGGTGACTTAGAGGTGGAGCTCTCGCCTCACCATCAGGAGGCTGTGAGTTCAATCCCGGGTAGAGGCAGATATTTCTCCCTCTGCGCACGATGAGAATTTATCTGCCGAATATAAGTCCGCATCGGTGACAAGAAGGGCATCTGGCCAGTAAATACTCAGCTCCTTTCAGTTGCCCAGACTCCAGCCCGCAAGGGATTCTGGGGTCATAGAATGAGAGGATGACTGAACTATCAGCTGTAAGTTGAGGACTTAACTCTACCTTGTAGAGTTAAAACCACCATCACAGGAAGAAAATAAATGCACCTGTTGGATTTGGCCTAATGAGCAAAGCTCCATGCGCGGGAACCTCTCTGACTAGCCATAGAGTGAAAACTAAGATTTAGTTCTACTTTTTTCCAGACACACACACACACACACACACACACCCCACATCACATGTGTAATCCAGTTCCTTTTAACTCCACATCAGCACAAAACCAACCAGTTGGTTTTTGACTCAGCTGCCTTGCAGCCAGCTAGCATCTCAGCCGTCCGACTTGTCTGTGCCGCGCTCCCGCTGACGGAAACGTCTCTGGCGTTTGGCAGAGAAATTCCAAGCGAAGGAGGCAACCCGCCCTAATGGTCACAACAGCAGGCTAAAAGGAAAAAGGACCCTGGTGAGCTAGCCAAAACAAGGAAGAACTATGATACGACGGGAGAGCAAGCGGTAAGCCGAACGCCTTTGAAACCTTCCTTTTCTTTCTCCTCCTCTTAGTCACCGGGAATTTCTTGGTGTTTTCTAAGTTCCGTGTCATTCTGAGTAAGGTGAACACAACTTCATTTTGTCACTTCTCCTCTTTTGCATTGGTGTGGAAAAGAAGGAGTCGCTCTCCCATAATACATCCTTCGGTCGTATGAAATTAATCTTTCACAAGGTGCCAGTTTGGGAGAGGCACTGGGTTAGTGGGCATCTGGAAAGTTTTAGGTTGCTGAGCCCGAAACTTAAAAAGGGGGCCAAGATTTTTTTCTTCTTCTTTCCTTTGTGTCCTGGGAAAAAAAGGCTATTTTTTTCTCTCTCTGGAATTACTCGGGAGTTCTCCCACTGCGTAGAAAAGCAGGAGAGACGATCTATTTACCTGGCACTTAGTTCTTACTTCTTACCTGCAACCTGGGGCCCCTTATGGCTGAACGCCCGCAGGTAAGTTTCTTTTCAACCTGGCATACAACTTCAGAGGGAAAGAGCCAAGTTGAAATCGGGAGATGACAGCTGTCACATTTGGATAATGTTGACGGAGGGCACCCTCGGGCCCCGTACGATCCGGTGCGTCGGAAGGATTGGAAACCTTTGCATCTGTGGCAGCCACCGCCCCGCCATTTATCAGAACGAAAATCTTAAATAAACGACTCAAATCGCATCTCAAGCCCGGGCTAGCCGGCGTTTTCAGCTCGGCGATGTTTTTCGAGATGTTGGAAATGGTTTTGCTTCGAGAGGGAACTTCCTAGTACGAGATCTGCAAGATGCAGCAGGCAACAAGACGGCGGTGGGGAAACTGGAGAACTGGGGTAGGGTGGGGAGGGTAGTGGGGAAGGGAAGGGCCGCAGGCTGACGGAAGAGGGTCTTTCCTTGGGGCTGAGAGGGGGCACTTGGCAGAAATGCCCACCATGCCTTCTGTTTTCCTTGAGGCACAGCTGGCATTTGAAACAGCCAGGCAACATGAGGCTGCAGAGTGTGTGTGTGTGTGTGTGTGTGTGTGTGTGTGTGTGTGTGTGTGCGTGCCAGGGTATGTGCGTGCCAAGCTCTTGAAATGGATATTTGAGGAACTTGTGCAAGATCGTGGCACAGGGTTGCAAGCAGTTTGCTTCAGCGGTCTGTTGCGGGCCATCAGCGGAGACTGTCCAGGAAAAAGCAATTGCAATAGCCCTTAGACTTATATATACAGCTTCTCAGGGCTTTACGTCCCTCTCTAAGCGGTTTACAGAGCCAGCCTCTTGCCCCCCAACAATCTGGGTCCTCGTTTTACTGACCTTGGAAGGACGGAAGGCTGAGTCAACCTTGAGCCGGTCAGGATTGAACTTCCTGGCTGTGGGCAGAATCAGCCTGCAATGCTGCATTCTAACCACTGCGCACCATGGAATGGAGGGAAGGAGGCAGGAAGGGAGGGAGGGAGGGAGGAAGGAAAGAAGGAAGGAAGGAAGGGAGGGAGGGAGGGAGGAAGGGAGAGCAATAATACTACCGACCTTGGAAGGATGGAGGACTGAGTCAACTTTGAGTCAGTCAGGATTGAACTGCTGGCGGTGGGCAGAGTTAGCCTGCAATGTTGCGCTCTAACCACTGCATATCATGGAATGGAGGGAGGGAGGGAGATAAGATGCAACCATACTTCCACTCAAGGGCTGATGGGGCCTGGATAATCTGCCCCAGCTACATTTGGAAATTTCAAGTTTTTTCCCACCTTGAACGAAAATCTTTCTTTCTTTTTTTCTTTTTTAAGGGATGTGTGCTTGGTTTCATGTTACCTTCCTAAGCTCATTTCAAAAGAATTGAATTGTCATTGTACAATTGAAGCTTGTAATCTTCAACCTTCTATTTTAGAGATGAAGATTATATTTAGACTGGGGTGGGGGGAGGCCCTTGGGGCTCTCTGAGCTTCAGTGCTTTTCTTGTAGACGTTTCATTGTCAAACTAGGTAACATCATCAGCGCGAGCTGGAGGTGTTAATGAATTGGTCATGAAACGTCCGCGAGAAAACCACCAAGCTCAGAGAAAAGGACCAAGGATCCCACTGTTGAATCCTGAGCTGCAAATATATATCTCTTCTATTGTTGCATTTATGGTCTTTAGTATCCCACGCCAGATTTACACGGTCTTCTATTTGAGGGGTCCCCAACCACCGGTCCACGGACCGGTACCGGTCCGTGGAACAAGTCCTACCGAGCCGCTGGCTTGCTGGGCGCCGCCATCTTGTTTTGATGAAAAAGTGC